AACACCAAGATAAAATTACTAAGGCTTTTAACACAGAATCAGCATACCACTAAACTAAGCTCAGGGACTTGTGAATGTGGAGTCGTGTGCAACTGCACAGGTAGTGCTATGCCCATGAAGCTGGCCCTGGGTATCAGCATGTAATTGGCACTTAACTCCACAGGACTGGATGAGATCACCCATGAGAGAGAAGATAGAAAGAACAAATGGTCCCAGCCACAAGCACTGTGTTAGTTCAACATTTAGAGATTGATCAGAGGAGAAACAGTCCACAAAGGAGACTGAGAAAGCAGCCAGGAAGGTAGGAAGACATGAGACTACCTGGCCACGATTCTCTAATTGCATTTTTTGGGACTCCCATTCAGTGACAGACTAAATAGGATGGCACTGATGTGTGAGGGGCTCACTATTGAGATTCTGGTATAACTACCAGTACTGTGGGTGGGTAGGCAGAAATGAGTCATTTAATTGAGGTGGACTGGGATATTAGTGCTCTCACAGGGAAGCACAATAATGTTTGAGAACAAGTTTATACATATATTTTTAATTGAAGTATAGTTGATTTACAACATGATGTTACTTTTAGGTATACAGCAAAGTGATTCAGATATATATATATATATATATATAATTTTCTTCCAGATTATTTTATGTTATAGTTTCTTACAAGATACTGAGTATTTTTCCCTGTGTTATACAGTAAAGCCTTGTTGTTTATCTATTTTATATATAGTAGTGTGTTAATACCATATTCCTAATTTGTCCCTTTTCCCTTTGGTAATCATAAGTTTGTTTTCTGTCTGTGAGTCTGTTTCTGTTTTATAAATAGATCCATTTGTATTATTTTTTAGATTCCACATATAAGTGATATCATATAGTATTTGTCTTTCTATGTCTGACTTACTTCACTTAGTATGATAATTTCTAGGTCCATTCATGTTGCTGCAAATGGCAACACTTCATTCTATTTGATGGCTAAGTAATATTCCATTGTATATATGTAACACAGCTTCTTTACCCATTCATCTGTTGACTGATTGCTTCCGTGTCTTGGCTATTATGAATAGTGCTGCTATGAACATTGGAGTGCATGTATCTTTTCAGATTAGAGTTTTCATCTTTTCCAGATATACGTCCAGGAGTGGGATTGCTGGGTCATATGGTAGCTCTATTTTTAGGGTTTTTTTTTTTTTTTTTGCGGTGCGCGGGCCTCTCACTGTTGTGGTCTCTCCCATTGCGGAGCACAGGCTCCGGACATGCAGGCTCAGCAGCCATGGCTGACGGGCCCAGCCGCTCCGCGGCATGTGGGATCCTCCCGGACTGGGGCACGAACCCGTGTCCCCTGCATCGGCAGGCGGACTCTCAACCACTGCGCCACCAGCGAAGCCCTATTTTTAGTTTTTTTAAGGAACCGCCATACAGTTCTCCATAGTGGCTGCACCAATTTACATTCTCACAAACAGTGTAAGAGGGTTCCCTTTTCTCCACACCTTCTCCAGCATTTATTATTTGTAGACATTTTGATGATAGCAATTTTGACAGGTGTGAGGTGATATCTCATTGTGGTTTTGATTTGCATTTGAGAACAAGTTCTTAAATAGCCTTTGGATTCACAGAGATGCTCTTGAGGTTAGGTGCATCTATTTGAAGGCTAATTCTGCTTCTGCTGGTTCTGTGGCAGCATGTGTTTGTGGCTTTTTTCCCAAAGGAAAGACAAGACAAAACCTCTACCTGGCAGCTGATGGTAGCTGCTTACAGCAATAACACTGTAAATGGACCAGCACCCTGGGCATTCCTAGCATATGTTTTGGAATGCCATACAAATTTCTCACCTGGTCCAAAAAGAAGAGTTACAATTGTCCTAGAATACCAAATCGGCCTTCTTTTCATAACTGGACTTGGTATCCTGCACTGAGCCAGGTGGACTTTTAAGGAACTGGGCGTCTGTGGGCTTGTGTAGCCCCACACCCCGCTCGGCTCCTCCATCGCTTCCTGGGCTCCTCTCCTTCCCCTGCAGCGGCCTGGGCTGGTCGGTCCTCATCTGCCATGTCAGAAACCCTGGAAATGTGTATCGTGTCGCTTTCCCACGACTTGGGAGAGCAGTGCTGGAGGAGGTGGTGTCTGCCAGGGCAGCGACTACATCGCAGGTGAAGCTGGAGATCCTGATGACGTCCAGGCGGACACGGGCTGGAAGGGGTGGTTTGGGAAGAAGTCGCCGTGAAAGTGCCTCTTGGGACTGCCGCGAGCTACGTCTGCCTGGCTCCTGTGAGGTAGAAAGCCAGTGTTTCCTGGCTTTAGACCGTGAGTTGCTTAGGATCGCTTATCTTAAAACCAGCATCACTGAGGTATGACTTATATGTCATAAAACATAATTCTATGTTTTTTAGTAAATGTAGTTGTAAACTTAGCACATGTAGTAAATGTTCGAGTTTTGGAACATTTCCATCATTGCATAAAGTTCCCTCAGTGTCCGTTTCCAATCAATTCCCATTTCCATACCCAGCCCCTGGCAGCCTCTGATGTGCTTTCTGCTGAAGATTTACCTTCACTGGTAAATGAAAGCTTACAGTATGTGGTCTTTTGTGTCTGGCTTCTTTCACTTAGCATATTGTTGCAGTATAAGTAGTTCTTTTTTAGTGCTGAATAGTACCCATTGTATGAATGTATCACATTTTGTTTAGCCATTCATCAGTTGGACATTTGAGTTGTTCCACTTTGGAGTTACTATGAATCGTGCTAGGAATAATTGTATACAAGTCTTTATGTGGATATGTTTTAATTTACCTTGGGTAGATACCTAGGAGTGGAATTGCAGTTTTGTATACTAAGTTTATGTTAAACCTTTTTTTATTCTCAATGTCTCAGATCTCTTTTTATTAGATTGACAATAAAATGTTTGATCAAGAAACTAGCCTATTGAAACTAAAGTTGGTGAAGGAAGTTCTAATTAATGTTCTTGTTAATTTGGAATTAACCACTCTTTTACTCATTTTTCAAACACTTTTTGAGCTAGCCATTGTACTAACCATTCAATATTAAAGTTAACTACACATCATTAGTTTTCTTTGATGGCTGGAAATCTGTGTGTACATTAGGATGGATATACTTTTTGAGATTTTTTTTTAGTTGACTTTACTGAATTCCTTAAACTAACTTGCTTGGTTTTACTTGTATTTTTCTTCTAAAAAGAGAGAACAGGAAAAAAAAAAATGTGTGTAGTATCTAGTTTTACAGCATGGAAGGTAAATTTGACACTGATAGATTCTGTTGATGATGGTCCAAGGAACTCCAGAGGTTTGAGAGATGGGGGTTGTACAAAGCTGTACGGGAATGAGAGACCATTCTCATTGACCTACAGAGGTCTCGTTTTCTTTGTGCTAACAAACAGAGATAAAGAACATGATGACTGGCCCTGATGGTCTCAAGGAAGATAGTGGTGGTGATGATCTAAAGCTGAGAAGAATTGAAGAAATAGCTAAATTCTATGGTTCATTCAGATATGGATTACTCTACTATTGAGCTTATTTATATCAACATCCCTCCCTGTTTAGACTCCAGAGTTTTAGAATGGCAATACTGGGATGCTATAATAACTTCTATTTTAGAAAAGTTAGACACCTTATTTGGGGAGCTATCTGGTAAAATCGAACCAGAAAAGAACTAGGACTCTTTAGAGGAATGGCTTACTCCAGGGCTGGGGCACATAAAGCATAAGGTGAGCCTGGATCATCTTGTGCCAAAAAGGAAGAAAGGGCTCAAGAACATCCAAGTCATGTCAGGGACATATGCACCAGACTGAAGTCAGGTCAGTCCTGGGGCAATTTTACCAACAAAATAAGTGATGATAGGAATGCATTGTACAATAAAATAAAAGAGTCCATCCTAATATAAATAAATGAATAAATAATGGAGAAAGGAAAGCTCTACCTAACAGGAGATCACTAACAAGTGTAGAAAGAACAATTGAATTAAAAAAAAATCACCATTTGGCTTTCACCATAGTAATACTTGATTCAGGCAAGAATCATCAATCTATGCTAAAACTGGTGGGTACAAGTGTGGTAAAGAACAAGATATTTGCATAGTTTCAAAGTATCTCCCCATAAAACACTTACAAATTGCTCACTAATTTGTAAGTATAAAATACAAATTAACTTCAGAGTGAAGAAAGCTGGAAGACACATCTTAACCAAGTAATAAAAGTAACTACCAACAGGAATGGGACAAATTCACATCATGTGCTTTCTGATAAGAGGCCTTGAGAAGTACATGGCATTTTTGGCCCACCAAAAATGAACAAATCTTGAGGAAAATTAGACAAACTCAAACTGGGGTTTTCTACAAAGTAACTGCCTTATACTTTTTTTGCATGTGTGTGGCTGTGCTGGGTCTTTGTTGGGGTGTGCGGGCTGTTCGTTGCAGGCGTCTCTCTAGTTGTGGCATGCAGGCTTAGTTGCCCCACAGCATGTGGGATCTTAGTTCTCTGAACAGGGATCAAACCCGTGTCCCCTGCATTGGAAGGCAGATTCTTAACCACTGGACCAATGGACCACCAGGAAAGTTCCCTGCCTTTGAGGCTACTAATTCTATGTTTTGTTTTGTTTTTAACTAGTCCACACTTTATTTAGATTTATTTAGTTTTTAGCTAATGTCCTTTTCCTGTGCCAGGATCCTATCCAGGTGGCATGCATTCTTTATGGTGAAGTGTTAACATATCAAATTATTCATTTGGGAAAACCAGTGTATTTTCTGTATTAATTATAGAAAATTCATGTTGTTTTTGAAATTTACCTGCCTACCCCCAACCCCCCAATCCTCCTAAGTCTCAATCTGTTTTTTTTTTAATTGCAATGTTAGATCTATGTGCAAAAATATAAAGTACATTGTGATTATAGGTTAACAGGTACATGTTTAAGATTTATTTTGCCTGTATGTTTTTACTGAATGACTTACTTCCTATTTCAAGGCAAGTATGAACATGTGGCATGATGACACAACTGTTTCTTAGAAATTTGTTTAATTTGTTGACTACTGCCCATACCTTTGGTAATCCTGTTCATGACAAAAAAAAAAAAAAAAAAAAATAAGGAACAGGCTTTGTCTGGGGGGATTCAAGTCTAATGAACCACATACGTACACATACATGCGCATACTAGAGGTCAGTACCATTACCTCTCAGTGAGAAATGAAGGCCAGGAGATTTTGATGGTCAAGACTGTGATCACTGGAATCTGAGTAACTCAACTTAAAACACTTAACTCTGCTCTCACTTTGCAGCCTTACGTTGGGCAGATGATTCACTTGCCTTAAAGTTCTGGAAAACGGGGAGACAATTCTCCATCAGGACTGCTATACAGAATAGTGATATAATGCATATGAAGCAATTAGCATAATCCTGATATGTAATAGTAAGCCCTTATAAATAATGTTGACTATTATTATTATAATATATACCCAAAACATAAAACAAATGAGCTGGGGAACATACAACCCTAGTATATGGAGAATAACATACAACCCTAGTATATGGAGAATAACAAAAATCAGGTTGTATCAACCCCTTATTTAGGGATGTGAACCACACTTTACTTTTTTCTGGTAGCCCCACTCACAGTGGCTGCTATCCACACTTTCTTTCCCTAACTCAGAAATACCACTCTGAATACTATAGTACACTCATAATTTTTAATTAAAGCACTGTGTCCTCACAAACACTTTCTTCAAACTCAAAGCAAGCATTGTGCTTGAAACACTGTAAAACTTGCCAAAGAATCTGAATGGCAATGATAGTAAAGGAAAATACAGACTACGTTATAAAAAACAATGGCATTTGGGGAAAATAGTAAGAGCACAGAGGTTGCTGTGAGCAATAGAAATTGAAACTGATGAATCATTTTTCTTTCTGATGTAGGCTCACCACCCAGAGCCAAAATACTTTGCAAAACCAAAGCCACTATCTATCTTCGGTCAATACATGTCTTCCTTCCTAGAAAGCTCTATCTCCCTCATAATCCCTACCAAGTTTGCATGGACTACAAGGTTACTCATGATCAACCCTCCTTACTAGTTGTCAGTGTTTGCCATTATACAATTTCATACTAGTCCAAAAAATATAGAGCATGTAATATAAATATACATGTTACTATCTATGCAAAATGTTATCGATTTTATAAAGATAATTAAAATGACCCAGTTTGCCCTATAGTTAATTCAAACAGGGGTCAGCAGATTATGGCCTGAGGGTCAAATCTGGCCATGCCATTTGTTTACATGTTGTCTATGACTGTTTTACTCATAAAGCAGAGTTCAGTTGTTGTGACCAGGATCATATGCTTTCCAAAGCTGAAGATACTTACTACCTTGGCCCTTTAGAGAAAAGGGCCAACCTCTGTAACTATAACAAAACTACCCACTAAGTGTCAATTAAAAAGCTACAAATAAAGAATTAAAAGAGTTCAGAAAGTTGGAGTGGTCACTTTCAGCAACGCCATTTTGAGAACTTTTTGGTACCAATAGAAATAGGACTAAAAGAATAAGAATGCAGATCGGTTATAAACTTCTAGGCAACAAAAAATGATGGAAATATGTGAAGCAAAGAAAAAGCAAGAGAGAGGATGAAGCTTGCCAATTAGGTTAGTCATTATTCTCTTACGATAATTTGCAAAGGCCTTTTCATCTTTACCATTTTTCTAATCTGATGTATGTTTTATACAAGTCACATTCCATATGCTTCTAAGATATCTCTTAATTATATGCTTGCTTTCCAGCTGGGAACCCCACCCCAACAAGGCAGACTCACAGATATGAATTTGGTGACAAACATTATAATTAATGACATTCTCTGAAACTCTGCCTAAATTTAACCTTCTTAATCTTTTCTGTCATTTGATATTAAATATTTATTCAGCACCAGAAGAATGAGATATTATTTATCTTCCAAAACAAAATCACATGACCTTGCAACACATTATTTGCAAAGATTATTACTGTGCTGCTCTTTTCGTTTGTGTTTGTTCCTTTTCCCTAAAGTTCCATGATGCAAAAAAGCTAGATGGATTAGTAGGACTTCTAGTCTTAAAAGACCAAAAATTATTTTGCTTTAATCAGAAAGGATATATTACATTAACAGGTCTAGGGGAGCTATTTTTAAAAGCTCTTGAAAACTAAGTTTTCATTACAAAAAAAAATTTATTGCAGAAAGACAATTTATGCTTACATGTAAAAATATTTTAGGCTCAATATGAAAAGCTGCTGCCATATTACCTTTTGGCCAATTATTCAGATAGCCACATTTTTATAACCTGCTTTATGTACTTAAAACCTAAGAGAAATGTGAACCACAAAAAAAATAAGAAACAAAATACAGTATTTGTAAAAAAAAATGACTATCTTATTTGAAATATATACAATTCTCAACGTATAAATGAATAGGCCATAAAGTGTAAAACTTTAAGTGTTATAGGTTAGGACAAAAAATTAAAAAATAAAAAATGTAGGGGGAGAGGAGAAGGAAGAAGAGAGAAAGGGAACAAGGGAGGGAGAGACAAACAACCAACCAAAACTAAGACAGTCCAGATTCATATAACTGCTCATCTGATGTGAAAAGATGAAGAAAAAAATGGACTTTCAAACTTGAAGACTAAAATGTTTTACTATGTCAACATGAAATTCCTTCAGAGCTCTCATAATATGTACGTAGTTCTGGAACAAAATTTTTACTTCTTAGCTTATTAACAATGTGTACATTTGAAAATAAATATATACAATATATCAGAACAAACCCTTCAGGACCATATTTAAGCAAGGACAACCAAGGAAACAGAATTCAGGCATTTAGGATGCCTGTAACATTTAGGATATATGGTATTTTGAAGACTAATATTCTCTTCCTTGCTCGTTAGCCTGAAGTCTTCGTTATACACATGTTGTTTCTAAAGTAGTTTCCTTACAGAGACAAGCATCTTGATGGGCCAAACCAATTTCATTTTCTCCAGTACTACAAAAATTAAAAACAAAGAAACAGAAAATAATTAGCTTCACTGTTCACAAAGAAAGAGAAACAAGTTTATAGTTCTAAAAACTGCTTAGAAAGAGACATATAATTCTTTAATAGAAAAAAAAAACCCAAAACACCCTCAGGTAATTCCAGTCCTTAATTTTTTTAAAAAAAAGTCTATTAAAAAAAAAAAGGTGAAATTATTACTTTACTACATGCCATGAAGAGGATTTAAATTAACTACAATGTACAGGATTCCTAAGACTTGGCTTAAAAATCAGTTTATATGAGCAAATATTTGGGAGAGGGAATGTTTGCTAACTGTAAGCTCAAGATGATCTCATTATTACACGGCAGACAAATCTAGCACTAGGAAGGCAAAAATTCCACTGAATTCTGCAGTGACAGATGATTAATATTTTGAGTAGTGAGCTTAGTTCTTGGTATGACATTTTTAGAGACTGTGAAAATGTATAATTTATTCCAGAGTGCAGCCAATGCACAATACAGAGTACAGAAATGGTCTGGAAAAAAAAAATCAAAGGAAGCAGTCCTGAAAGAATAAGAAAGGCCCAGTCAAGAGTTGTTTTGGGGCCAATACATTAATAGTGTTCAATATTAAAATATCAAGTTAAAATAAAAGATATCAACATTTTTAACACCTATTTTGTGCTAGGCACCCTCACAATTATCTCAAAGTAATGTACAACAGTTAAAGGTTGTTGTCTTTAACATGTACAATCACCCACTCTCTCAGTAAGAACAACTCTGGGCACCTTTTTGGGGTGAGTCATCCACACCTCATGTGCCCTCTGATTCAGTCAAATATATGCTGGCTTATCTTGGAGGAATTAAGAATGCTTTTTATGGGTCACAAAACTTTGTGTCTATGAACTTCACTTCATTATTACTCTGAAAGAAAACGGGAAGGAAAAAGAACCGTGCTGACAAGTGGGTTTGTGTATGTATGTGCACATGCGTGTATATGCTTATAAATGTGAAAGATGCTGACTGATTTTAATCTATATAATTTAAAGTGGCAATTCTAGAAAGAATATGGTAAGATTTATTTTTAATGCTAATAAAAGGAATGTAATTTATAATTTAAGAAGCTATTTAAGTATTTTCTTAAAGGTAGTATCAGAGAAAATAAACTTCTCAAATGGTCCTTGGCACTTACATAAAATCACATACATTTATTTGGTACTATGTACCAGGAACAGTTCAGCTTCTATGGGAGACCCCAAGTTACTTTAAGACAAAATGCTTATATAAAGAAACAGTTATTTACCCCTACCCGCAACCCCTCCCCTGCACACACCTGAAAGTTAGACAAATGGGTGGGGACTCATTCTAGGCAAAGAAAAAGGTGTACTACTTGGGGAAGTAGGGATATTGGGTATAGGAAGTGTCATGGGGTAGCTCATCAGGGTTACAAAGAAGGTTCTTTTAGAAGGCTGGTAGAAGATGATGAAAGTTGAAAATGCAGATTAAAGGCAAACTGCGAAAGTTCCTCACTGACATGCTAGGAAGTCTAAATACCCTGGAAACAAAGAAAAACCACACCTATGTATCCACACCTGTGTATACGTATGTTTGTATGCGAGAAAAATGCTGCTACTAAACAGATGGTCTCTAAGAGATTTCATAAATATTTCAAAGTGTCTGTACCTATGGGGGAAAAAATTAGTAACACTATGTAGTAGAGCCAGCCCAAAATATTCCACTCCCTTCACATTTAAAGAACTTACATAAAAGTTCGATATAACAGAGGGGAGGGAAAACAATAGTTAGTATTACAAATAAACTTACTAAAGCCGATAATGAACCGAACAGGCAAATCTTACCATGGAGTGCATTCAAGTGTCTGAAAACTTTCCTTAGAAAAGATAAGGAAATTAAATTTGTACTGATGAAAAATAAACTGTAGGGAATTTTAGCTGAAAGTTATGGAGCATTCTGCTGAGTGCTGCTATTACGATAACTAATCTTAAAACCTTAAAACATTTGTAATGTACCAAGTGCCTATATTATAGTTTATAACATCATAGGTTTTAACATAGTTATGCAGCAGTACTGACTGCAGTGCAACAAGAGAGAACATGTGAGTCGATAAAATTCAAGACTGGGTTTTGGCCAATGTACAAGATAAGTGATATCCCATATTTATCATATTTATCAGGGATTAACTGTTCCCAATAACTCCTTTTTATGTCATACACTATTGGCTGTCTGCATGGATTTTTTTTCTTTTGATGCTCAGATGAAAGATTAAAGAGAGAAAATTAAAAGATCATTTTTAAAATTTACAAGTCTATTTTTAAAACTCACCACTCACCACATAATCTATTCATACCTAATAAATTAAGACATAGATGTAAATTGAGAAAAACATTATTTAGAAACTACTGTCTATTTCTACAATCCAGGGTTTGAGTTTGAATCTGGACTTTTTCACCTGTTCACCTTGAGACCTTGGGCAAGTTATTTAACCTATCTAAGTCTCAGCTTTCTCATCTGTAAACAAGCCTAGTGATACATTTACTCTACAGGTATGAGGATTAAAGGAGGTACTGAAGAGAAAAAAGTTTACATAATTTCTGGCACATTTAAGTGTTCAATAGGCTGCTATTATTGCTACTATTGTGTTTTTGTTGTTGTTCTTCTTCTTATTCCTTACAGGATAACTCAAATATATTAGGACTAGATCTGGGACACAAAATGATAAAAAATAGTTTTGTATGATATACTGGTGTTATTTATTTAAGCCACGTATCTGGGAATCATCTGACTCTTTAGAAAAATATTTACTAAATTAAAAATCACTTTGTTTTAGAACTGAAGAATTTCTATTTGGTCACATAATTCAATACTTTAAGTTTTGATCAATGAAATATTTTACATTGCTCTTCTTTATTCCTAATGGTAAAATAAGATCCATATAATGTAAAATCAGAAATGATGCTCTAGTCTCTTCTCCTTAGGGCATCTTTTGCATCCATGCCTTCTTAAAGTAGATGAGAGTAGAACAGTTACAGTGGAAACATCCTACACTGGGTTTAAGAACTAAGATCAGTACCTAAAGGTAAAACAGAATATAAATAAACAAAATTACTCAAGAAAAGCCCTTCAGAAGGCAACATACTGGAGTCATTTCTCAAAGAGTCCAAAATAGGAAGCTTTCCCCTCAGCACTGATGCAAAAAACCTATTTCTTTGTTTGAACAGCAGATGGGGCAGATGGCTTGTACTGAGGCCATGTTGTACAAAAAAAAATGAGAACCCTCAATATTGGAATGACATTCAGCATTGTAAGAAGTTACGTTATGGCAGGAACGTCGGATCTGAAACACTTCGGAGGGAGTCCCTGACACATTTACTAGACACATGGGAAATATCAGGCATAAGGAACACACTGTTTTCCTCCTTTCACTGTTGTTTTTTTTAACCCCCTCAAGTGTAAGAGTGTGTGTGTATAGCTGGCTTCTCTTAAGTTAAAGGTGCACAGATGGGACTGCACATTCATGTGACCCTCCACTCGGACCTGTGGTCCTCCTCCTTGAACATCCAGGGGCTAAGGAAGGGTCCTTGCCAGATGGATGACAGTGATCTTTGTTCTTAGTATCCTGAGCTGGGACTTAGGTAAAATTTCTGAATGCAATCTGTTCTTACTTTTTAACATTTAGTGTGCAAAAAAATATATATTTCTAACCCTAATCTATAAAGATTCATTTAATTAGATTTAATATGTATTAAGATTAATGAAAATCACATCCCCTTTCTCCAAACTTCTACCATCAATCAGTGAAGAGAGACAGGAAAAAGCAGAAACTGGAAAGGAATGGGCTGCAATGTGAGAGATTTCCTTTGAAAGGCATAGTTTTAGAGCAGGAAGTGATCCAAACTAAGTGACCTCCACCTTTCTGCTGGGAAGAAGAGTTCTGATGATGCAATTTCAAAGACAATGACCCAAATAAAAGTGTTTTTCAGTGGAAAATTTCTACCACTAATAGGTGGGTGTTGCTAGGCAACAAATATTGCAATGTTTAATCTCTACCCTTACTAGCAATTGGCGTGATGGAATAAAATAAGCCTTTTCAGCATTTCAACATAATAGTTGTATCTGGCAATTTTTTAGTCATTTTAAAGAATACTTCTTTTATGTAGAAAGAACTTTTGTTAGCATGTATCTGTCTACCTCCATTTTCTAAAAACTGGGTTCTATAATCCATAATGATTAACAGGAATACACTAAAATTAGCGTAACTCAATTAGCAAAATGCATCCTTATAATAAATGCTATGAGTGACAAAAAACAGATGTTGATCATCAAAATTTGAGTGTGCATGTGATTTATTAGTATCAATATTTAGAAAATGTATATTTAGGAATGTGAATTTCAAAGGGAAAATAAACTTCCTCAGAGATTAGTTAAGAAACAAGTATGCATCTATAATTTTATAATTTGAAAAGACTTATGTGAAATTAAGACCTCATTTAGTATCTCTGGTACCCTTCAATGCCTAAGCAAGTTCCAATTAAATTTAATATTCTTATGTTACTCTTTTTTTTTTTTTTTTTTTTGCAGTACGCGGGCCCCTCACTGTTGTGGCCTCTCCCGTTGCGGACGCGCAGGCTCAGCGGCCATGGCTCACGGGCCCAGCTGCTCTGCGGCATGTGGGATCTTCCCAGACCAGGGCACGAACCCGTGTCCCCTGCATCGGCAGGCGGACTCTCAACCACTGCGCCACCAGGGAAGCCCTCTTATGTTACTCTTATGTTGATATTGTTTTAGTTGTACAAAAGTATGAGCAGAGATGACATATTTAAAGAAATCTAAGAGCATGGATATTTTCAGGTTAACTTCTTGGGATAAACAATATGGGAGTCTTGTTAATCACTATGTTGTACACCTGAAACTTATATAACATTGTAAATCAACTATACCTCAGTAGAAAATAAAAAAGAATATGGGATTCTGATAAAGACGACTCGAGTTCTGCAAACTACAAAGTAATCTAGATTATCATTGGTTGGATATGGGGGGTCAAAAGATCTGGGTTCAAGCCTTGATTCTGTGCCTTGTTAGACACATGAAGTTGGTTAAGTCATTATACATCTCTGGGCCTTTTTCCCTTACAGCTCTAAAATATTCTGCTGTGCTATATGCTGATCCAGATCTGCCATTAGCTAGCTTGGTGGCTCTGACAAGTCACTTACTTACTATCTGAGTCACAGTTTACTCTCTTGAGAAGTGACTATGATTAATGACATGTGAATCAAACCTTGAGTTGGCACTTATAATAAAATATGACTCAGACTGGTGTTCAGAGAGAAGAAACATGTTTTGTTCAGAGACAGAAAGAGTATCAGCTAACATTTACAGGAAAAAAATTCCCTTATGCTCATTAGATATTTCTTAAGTGTTTAAAGGCACTGTGTTTCTGGGTCACTGATATACATCCCATCCTTTAAGAAGTTTGCATTTTAGGAGTTGTAAGGTAAGTATCCAAATATCTGTAATAGAAAACAAATATAAGTTCAACTTATAATAAAAGTACAAAGTACTATTAATATTCAGAGGAAGATGAATCAGAGTGGCATTAAGAATAGATCTTGGAAGGACAGACTGGATTTTAGCAAGCAGGAGTTTACAGATGATTCATTATTAAGAAGATGGATATTCTGGGCTGAAGAAATAGAACAGCAAAGTAGCCAGAGAAATGGAAGAAGATAAAAATATTGAGAGAAAGAGAGTATTAGGAAAATAGCTTAGAAAGAGGTTTAGAACACAGCAGTCTGGAAGGCCTTGAGTTCCTAGAGATTGGATGTCACTTTTAGGCACTAGGGAAACACTTTTCACATTTAAATTTAAAACAAAACAAAACCCAGTGTAAAACAGTATTTTGTGAAGATATATCTAACTGAAATATTTAGCATAATAAAGATAAGAATGCTGCAAGAAAAAAAAAATACTAAAACAGAGAGAACAGTTATGAAGGATTTTAGTTACCCAAGGTATCATAAAGTGAAAAACAACTGGGTTAAAATGTCTATAATGGGAAAATGACAGAAAACGATGATTTAAAAAATGCTTAAAGAAACTCGCAAGACTTGGTAACATTCTGTATACTGAGTGAGGGAGAAGTTAAAACAGACAAGCTTTGAGCTTGGGTTATTTGTAAAATTATTATTAACTGAATGTGTAAAGTCAGGAAGGAGTTTACAAGGAGAGGAGTGAGAGGATGTGGGAGAGGAAAGCGGCCTAATTTTTCTGTTTGCTGATCACTTCCAGCATCAACCTCATTATGAAGTTTAAAACTAAAACAGTTTTCAAATCTGAGGTTTATCATCAAAAAGTCTTCCCTCAAACATTTATAGGAAAGAGTCTGCTAACCAAAAGTCTACAAATAGATCTGTATGTGCTACACATCGCTTTTCTCAGCTTCTAAACTCCTTTCCTAGCACTTCACAGTTTACCAAAATCCAACGAGTGTCCAAGTCTCACTTGTCAAGGCCTCTGCTAGACCCAAGATTATTCTCAAGAAGGGTTTATAGTCACCACTGACTAAAAAGGACAGATACACCTATGCTGACACTCCACAATTTAGTTACTAAGAACATTTCAGTGGGATGTTTTAGTGCATGTTACTAGTGCATCGAACACTTTCACATTGGAAGGTTGGTGAGATGTCAAGAAGGCTTGACAAAAAAAAACAGAAAAGATGTCATTGGCAGGGAAAGGTATGGTTCTGTGAGGATTCTAGGGTAGTACACGGAGAAGCTGAGATGAACACACTGCCCTCAGAGAACTTACCTGGGCGAACTTGTGAATCTGCTCTACCACCGCGGCAAACAGAGCATGGACACTTTCATCAATCAGACTCTGCATGTAGTGCACTGCCTCTTCATCAGACAGGTCTAGACGAAATTTATCCTGAACCTACAAGGTCACAGTCTTATTAGCTTTTGAATAAAGAAAAACACACATTTCGAAAAGACAAGAACAAACAGATATAGGTATTATTACAATGAACTATTCTATGCCAAAGAAATGATTCATAACCTGTAAGGAGTTCTGAATACTATTCTCTTGAATGTGGAACTTTAGTTTTTGCTATATGCTCTTTATATCACCCTATCTTTGTTGGTTGTAAATATTTCTGCAGAAAAAAATTAACAAAGTGAATAGAAAATATAATTCTGTTAGACCCTGCAAATTTAAAAAGAGACAAAAATTGTTCTTTTAACTCAAAGGTGTGCTTTAGTATTTGCATTTCAAAGCTAGAATTATAAGATTTAAATTGTGACATAATAATTATTAACAATCTCCTTCACTTTATGAAATGGATATAGCAAGGTAAGCTTATATTACTATTCTCCCTCACCTTCTCTGCCTACACAAGAACAGGAACTATGTCAATTGCTGGCAAAATGAACTAAACTAGATCTTCTAAAATGTCCCCTTTCCTATAGGAGTTCCCTGTACTTCTGCAAAGAACTACTTCAACTGGCCTATAATTTCCAAAGACAGAGGACTTTTTCATTATTTCATATTAAAACATACAGTTGATTCTCAATAGCAATAAGTACTAGAAAACTTAGTAGAGATATATATCAGAATAGTTCCCTAAAACACAAAAGCCAATGTTACTGAATGACTACTTTGTGCTAAACACTGTGCAAAGTACTTTACATGCAGTATTTCACTCAACTCTCAGATGGCTCTGAGGTAGATAATATCTCCATCTATAAGATGCAGAAACTGAGACACAGAATTTATGCAGCCAATCCAGGGACCTTTAACTGATGATAAGTGGCTTGCACTTCCAGACAATTGCATCCTACTGCACTAACCATTGTACTAACTCCTTTCTCCTCTTATAAATAACCCATATATATTTCTGAAAAGGCAGGCTAGGAGAAAATGGGATTTCCAAGTGGATAAAAAGTGGTCCACATTTAGTATTTCCTTTTAAGTATAGAGTTTAACTACTATAAAACCAGGAAGAAGAAAGGGCAGACAGTATGACAACCCATGGCCCTGCTCAGTGCTCTTTTCTCTTCACTGCACTGGAAGTATACCAGCTGATCCGACAGCCCTCAGCCTCAGGATAGAGGAGGTAAAAGAGAGGTTAATATAATAAGTGAAGGACAATTTGGTGGAGGGAGACCTAAAAGTATACTTTCAATCAACTCTCTCTCCCATTTCTGGGTCCCAGTTAAAGAGTTTAATCCATTATATTCCTTGATTTCTACTTAGAGAGGTCACGTCTGACAATTTTGGAACTATTTTTTAAGAACGTCAAAAAACTGTAGGGCAGGAGAATCAAAATAAAACTTTAACCCAATTTATCAAAACTTGCATACTTACATAAGTACTTAAATTACAAACAGAAGATATGTATTTAGCATATAAAGAAAATGTTATTTGCCAAATATGAAGATATTCTCTTTTATAACAAAGGTTAACAACATATAAATGGTTGATCTGTTTTCGTATATACTGACTTATGTTAGGCTACTTGTTATTGTCCCCTAAGTCACCTCTGTGACTTTCACCTTTCCAGAATTTCTCCCCTGACTTCTTGGCTATCCCTACCAGCTCCAAACCCTCTCCTTTCATACCTCATTAGTAAGGCTGCACTCAAAACAATCTGGAGAGTGCCTTTAAGCAAAAGGATACACACTTGTAAATCTCAGCCTCTGCACTGTCTTTCAAAGGTAGATAAGATACCCTTTGTTTAAAATATCGTGAGAATTTCCAAAATGTGATGCAGAGACACAAAGTGAGCAAATGTTGTTGGAAAAATGGCACCAACAGACTTGCTCAACACAGAGTTGCTACAACCTTCAAAATCTGTAAGAAACGCAATTATCTATGCAGCACCATAAAATGAGTAGACAGTTTAAAAAGAAGTAAAAAGAAATTGATATATATGTACTAAAATATGTTATAAAAAAGGAAAATATTGTTGAACTTTGTTATGATTAAATAATTTGAATAATATGTACTTCTCTGAAGACTTCAGCCTCAAATGTGCTACTCTGTTTCTTTAGCTGGCTTTCATTCATGAGATCAATGCAAAAATTTTCTAGGTAGTAAGACTTCAAAGTAATGCCAGCAAGTGTTATTTCACAAAGTATTAAAACCTATTTCTACTTCTTAAAAAAGCCAAACAATATGAAACATAAATTTTAGTCTATTGCAGCATCACTTTCCAATATTATTATTACTTTAAAGTCAAGTTTATGTTGCAATTGGTTACTTCACATCCTTGATAAAACAGTAGCAAGCAAATAAATCTTTATGGAATACCCTTTTGGGTAAAAATATGGTAAAATACTTTTTGTTCAAGGTTCACTTAATTGAAACTAGAATAAACAGCTAGGGAGTAAACAGTGTAAAGAAAAATGACTAAGGTACATGCTTTTCTTCCCCATAAATTAATTGCTTCATGTGTTAAAGGATGATGCCATAAAGAGAGCTGGTAACAAATTAAACAATAAAATCATGATTCTCTAAAAGAGAAGCAAAAGTTGAAACAAAAGAACAGTAACTATATAACAACTGGCAGAAGAAACTGGAAGACTCCGTTTGACAAATACTGTTAGAACTTTCATAAATGACTTCTGAACACAAGTGAAGTCAGGCAACAGTGAACATATGACAGAGATAGATGGGTTTAAAATAAACAGCAAAAACAGATCCTGAAAACAGCAAAGCAAAAAAAAAAGGCAACAACATTTGAAATCTGGTGCAGTCATCAACTTTAGCTAAGAAAACGTTCATCAACCATGTTTCTTGATGGATGAGCTTAAATTGACAAAAAATAACCCAGGCCAAAACCTAGTGTGATAAGTAGTCCATTGCCTAGTTTGGGGGTGGGGGGTGCTGAAACAGTGCTTCCTGGATAATAATAAATGAAATCTTAATAAGAACATAATTTCCTTAAATCGTTAAGCAATAAAATATTTACATTAAAATCCCTCTCATTGCTTGCCAATGACTCATAAAATTAGGTAAAAGAGATTAGCTTCATTCATGTTTGCAATGATGTAAATATTTTTGTATCCCCCAAATCCATGTTGAAACACTAATGCCCAATGTGATAGTATTAGGAGGTGGACCCTTTGGGAGGTGTTTAGGTCATGAAGGTGGAACCCTCATGAATGGGATTAGTGCTCTTATAAAAGAGATCCCACAGAGCTTCCTAGTGCCTTCCACTCTATGAAGATACAACAAGTTTTCGACCCAAAAAGGGCCTTAACTTGACCATTCTGGCACCCTGATCTAGAACTTCTAGCCTCCAGAAGCATGAGAAATAAATTTCTGTTGTTTACAAGCCATGCAGTCTCTTGTATTTTGTTATATATAGCAGCCCAAATGGACCAAGACAATGTTTAAACCACAGAGGTACCTTTCTAATAATGCTCAGAGTCAATTACATCAGAACTTAGGGATTTTGGTGCCAATTATTAATTTAACCACCAGGGCAATTCCATCTATGAGACTGTTTTAATTTTAGTAATTTTATACCTCTGTAAGTTAAAAAACTACACTAACTTTGAAGTTCAGTATTAATAACCACACTGATATTTAAGATCATTTTATGTTACCTTGGATAAATAAAGTACACTACATACATCCCTCTCAATGAATCAGAGAGTAAGAAATTAATTTGAATAAAAATCTTCAAATCTGTTACCCTTCCTCCCATCTCCTGCTGCAACTCAGGGTACGATTGTTCTGAATAACTGCTCATCTACGTGATGGCTTTCCTTCATTCTTCTCTTTGCAGGTTAAGTTAAGGCAGGTCTCTATTCTCCTGACACAGTAAGAAACCCCTGTAAGCAAGGGTATGAATGGGAAGGATAAAGAATGGCTGTTTGCTTCTGCTTCTCCATACTATTACAATATTTTGTTTCTGATCCTTAGCAGGCTTAGTCTGGGAGTACCAGGAATCAGGTATCCCAGTAGGAATATTAAAGAGAAGCTAAACTTTCAGGACAAAGAGCAAGGGCTGTGATAGTAAGCTCCCTCTCCTGGTGTAGTGACCTATTCATGTGACTGTGGGTACAAACAGGCAAGGGGATAAAACTTGTTGCAGAGGACTTGAGAGGCTGTCATATTCTGGAATGTGAAACAAAAATATACACAAGGTCTCTTTCTTAATTCATGTTACTTAAGAGTCTAGGGGTCAGGACAAGGGGAAATGGGTTGTTAAAACCCTGTTATTTTTTACATATGAAAAGTAGACTATGATATCTGAGGATGTATAAAAATTACCTTTTTCACAGTCTTATCTGGTTCAAGAGCAATATCTGGAATGTTTGCATCCACCATCAAGGAAAACAAGTTCAAAATAAGATTAGAATACCTAAAGGAGAGTGGGAAAGAAAAATAAATAGCAATGTGTTAGAATTTTGCCATTCTTTCTCATATTAAGAGCACTCCTAGAAGTAGTGCTTTATAATGATTACTATTACTCCTATGGAAAATAGAATGTGAGCTTATTCACCAGCTGTCTCAATGAAAAGCAAGCCTTGAAAACATATCTTATTCTAAGGTCTTGATATAATGCCATTTCTAGGTCCCCCACTAGGGAACACACTTTTGGAGTAACCATCTAATAATGACAGTTTTTCATTCTTTAGTAAGTATATTCTTTTTACAAGGGATCTAAGGGGAATCTGCTTTATACCATTAATTAGCATTACTAAGCAATGAAGATCTGTCTTTGCTCAATGCTGACAAGAATCTGCTACCTTAAGACTACCTCAGTATGTCATGGGTAAATGAGTCAAAGGGAAATAGTGTGAGTTCACTAATCATTCATAAATATCCTCTAGGGACACTAATCCCACCATCTTCGAAAATATAATGACTGGCCTGGATATAAGCAACCCTAAACAGAGGAGAAAATAGCTTGTACTCTTCTACACTAAATATGTGCAAGATATCTAAATAACTTCACCTTTGGAGTATGCTGGCCCCTGTAGGAACTAAAGGTTTATCCTCATCAATCATCAAACTTTTCATCCTCCTCCAAACAAGAATAAAGAATGTTACTATTCCAAATCTCATTTCCACGAGTGCAGCCATGTGGGGAAAGGTATCATTAAGTGTACACTGGGTGCAATCCACCTCCTGCTCCAGAACACTCTCCCCTTGGACAGTTATGCCCTGAGCGGCCCTGCAGCACTGTAGTGATAAAAGGAGGTCCAGGTTTGACTTTGGGGATGGATGTAAGTGAAGAAAGCTTTGGTTTTAGGCAATGAAGGTTTCTAGCTGGTCTTGGTAGAAGTGTCAACACAAGTGCCTTGCATTGTCTTCTCGAGTGGATGGAAGTCAGGACTTTAGGTTATGCAGAACCTTTATTCCAGCCATCTACTTATCCATAATATAAAAAAGTACATAAAAACTAATACTTGAACTGTAATGAAAATAGAACTTGTAGACAAAAATGACTATCCATATGAACCTCAAATTACCTATTTCATCATTTTTGAATTTTATATTACCCATGAAAATCAGGCACTATAATGAAAAAATTCTACCTTGATATAATCTTCTAATCAAATTAGGCCCTAACTCAATTATACTCTTTTAAAAAAAGTATGATAATAGCTAAACAGCTTGAACTTATAGTTTTAAAAGTTACTGATTTCCTTGTGGGAACTGATAAAAACCATGTCACAGCTTATTCCATTTCTACCCACATAATAATTTAATTCATTCAACCAACACATATTTATTGAGTACTCACTCTAAACACTGTTCTAGAAACTATGGGTATAGTGGTGAACTGAACAAACAAGGTCTCTACATACTCATGAAGCTTACATTCTGGAGGAGAGTGGGGACTCACACAATACACTGACAAAGAAGATAATTTCATGAGTACTTGACTGACAAAAGATTTTTAAAAATAAAGAAAAAACAGCAAAATGGGTCAAAGACTGATGGAGTGGGGAGAAAAGTCATCTTAGGGAGGTATGATGTTATTCTAACTGTACTGAAATAAATGAGTTTAAAGAGTAGAGTGACATACTCAGATATGCATTTTGTAAAAGCCCACACTGGCTATCTTGTGGGGAATAAGAATGGAGGAAGGGAAACTATTTTACAGATGTCCAGGTGGAAAATAAATAATATGGACATTATCAGGCTATATTTTGGAGATGGACTGGATATCACTTGCTTCAAGATGCCTTCAATAAAGGGGAGAACAGAGAACCTGCATGTCACCAAGGATTTAGCCTACATGGGGAACTATGGTTATTTATCAAAATTAAAAAAAAAAAATGAATGAAAGAAGAACAGGATTTGGGGCAGGGAATCAAGAGTTCCATTTTAGACACATATTGAGTTTGAGATCCCTACTACATTCTTAGTAGAGATGTCAAATAGGCAGTTAGACATATTTCAGAGGAGATAATAGGGCTGGTGGTAATAGTTTGGAATCATCAGCATTTGGATCCTATTTAAAGTCACAAGTCTAGATGTAAATGCTTAAGGAGAGAGTTTAGGGGAAAAAGATCCAGAACTCTTTATACTGATATGGAACTTGTAGATAGTTTAATATATAGAGGTCAGGAAGAAGAGGTAAGGTACCAGCAAAGAAGCAGGAGTGACCAGTAAGGCAAAAAGAAAATAGAGGAGTAGGTTACACCAAATAAAAGAAATGTTTTTAGGAACAAAGACATGGTCAACTGTGTCAAAGCTTCTAGGAAGCAAAAGTGGCCACTGGATTTGGTATAGGTAATTATTTATTTTGATAAAATTAGTTTCAATAGCAGAGTAGGACTGGAAGACTTACTGGAGAAACCTGAAGGAAGAAAGGAGGCTAGTAAGTGAAAAGTGGGGGATCAAGATTTTGGAGAGGTAAATTTACTACTGATGAGAGGGAGTGGCCAAGGTTGGCTTTACATGAGGAGGACACAGCCCCGAGAGGGGTCCGGTCATGGCTGGACCATTTATGCAGATGTTGAAGTCACAGAAGCAGGCCTGAAGAAGAAGACAAAATTTTCAATGAATGAAAATGACAGGGAAATAGGCAGTTGATGGTCAGCAGTAGGTAATTCATCTGATTTCACGGTGTGTGTCTAGGCTTTCCTTCTTTAAGAAGGCAATGGGAAGAAATGGTTCGGAAGTGGCATTAGGGAGCAAAAAGGGCACCAGGCCGTTCTCTAAGCTCTGTGGTATGTAGGAAATGGAAATAGAGAGAAGGGTCCACTGAGAAGGCTTGTAAGGACTGGTGTCAGTAGGATACAACCAACTGCTACATATTATGTTACGAAAAAATATTCTTTCAATGAACCCTTAATTATTCATACTCTGTTTTGTTGACTATATAGGGTTTGTCCCAACCTTGCCATAGGGGGATCTCAGGAATCTACCACAAGGTAACACAGGGAGAGGAATACAAGGTTCAGTTTTGAAAGGGATATTTCAAAGTATATCCCATACCTGGCTGCCCATTAAATTCATTTGGGAAGCTTCTATGAAATACCAATGACTGGGCCAAATCCCAGACCAATTAAATCTGATGGGGCTCAGAACTGTTTTGGTCCCCCCTTAGCCCACAAAGAACCCCAGGTGATTTTAACGGTCAGCCAGGATCTATGTTAAAATGTCTGCCTTTATGGAAGCATGTGTGTTCCTTTTGTAAAAGGCAAATATTAATGTTTTCTCCATTATCTGCTGGTATACATATAACCACCCATGCTTCTATTATTATGGCAAAGGGAAACAATGTAAATAAATATAAAATGGAATATTCTATAAGAAGCTTAAGCATCCAATTACTTTGTGGATAACCTGTCACTACCTTAACTGTATTAATCTTTTACATCTGTTGCCATTAACCTGCATTTTCCATTTAAGACAGAACCAGTTACACAAAACAGAAATTATGTATTAGTCATTCAAATGCTATCCAGAAAAACAGAAAGGTTACCAGAAATCTTTAAAGCCATTATCAAAAGAAAATATAAGGTTAAGTTTAAAAAAATGATAGAGTGGGCAAAGTGGGCAAAACCAAGTCTAAACAAAGATGTAAGGATGGATGTGATATAAATTAGATTTTTAAAAAGGAGTAGGTTAAGTACAGAGTTCAAGGAAAATGAACTCTTTCTCATACCCATGCTTATGCCAACCACCATGCTACTCACTGGGTATACAAAGATGGTCTAAATTTTTCAGTAAAAACCTTCAATACTAAGAATAAAAAGCATTAACTACAACAAGTGAGGTTCTTAACAGCATTTCAGACATCTTGTTTCCCCTACAATCTATCCATTTTGCATGCAACAAATATCAGAGTAGAATCCTATAAAAATATTTATTTAACAAGTGTACTACTTCTAGAAGGGAAAACAATGAGATTAGTGATGAAAAGTAGTGTGATCAATAGATTCACTGCTGTTTGGTGACTACGCAAACATCCTCTAAGACAATGTAAGAACTTTGCTTGATACAGCAAAATGCATTCCAAATTTCAATATTTTTACTGAAAAGTTTAGGCCCTCTTTGTATCATCAGTGTCTAGCATGGTGTTTGGCATAAACATGGATTAAGAGAAGTTATGTTTTCCTTGAACACTTAATATTTAAAATGTTTTAGCATTACTAAAGAGTTGCCATAAGAGTATTCAAAAAATAAATTTTCTAATTTATTATTGGTATAACAGTGTATTTTGTTATATGAAAATCACACCATAAAGTGTGTTCCGGCACCTGTACAAGTAACATTCATAACTTAATTCAAAAGGGACTGCTCTGTTTGTGGTCCACAGTTTATTCAATGATTTCTTGTTGATCAGCAATCAACAAAAACCATGAAAAGAACACAGTTGGTCACACCTAAAAACTCTAATAATAAGTGTGTCAAATATCCTTACCTCCAAACAAATTTTTGGCTATCTGGTTACTTCTTATGTCCTAAGAGAAATTTTTACTAACTGAACCATATTCTAAAATACAACATTAAAAAATAAATGTTTATCAAAATATTAGGGTCTAGCTAATCTTAACAGTGAAATTTTTGAAAATAAAAAAGTAAAACAATTTTCATGAAGACTTAACATAAAGTGAGGTAGATTAATCTCTTTATGATTTTTCTTAGTAGTGAGGAAAGTTAACTTTTGGCTCTGTACTAATAATCTGCCTATTTTCTCATTTTGCTGAATTGCTACTAATCCATTATCAATGACAGTTTATAAGACACATTGTTTTCTTTCTGCTTTCAATAAGATAGAGCACCTTTGACATTTCTCTAGTTATCATTGCATATCATCTTGTCTGCCTCCTCATTGAGATCACCATAGTTTCATCTAGCTTTCTGTAGGCTCTATTTTAAATTAAAAATCCTAGGTATTAAAGTGGAATTTTCATCTCTGAAAGTGCTTCTGCATCCAGACACCCATCTTCTCATTATTCCTTTAGCATTTCTGGAGAGTAAAACTGAGCCACTCTACCACTCATAGGATAATAATGCAGCTGTTTGTAAAATGTACGTTAAAGTTTGTGACCTGCGGTCGAGACTGAGTTAACAGTGAAGGCCTATTGAGCCACTGCAAAGATGAAACCTTATTAATATAAGACAGCCATTCACCTGGGACCAGTAGTATCAATATCACCAGGGAACACGGCCTCACTCCAGATGTGATGCAGAACTGTTCGTACAAATACTGAAGGTTCTTATTCAACATACATATACTGTCTATAAGCTGAGGTTACAAAGACAGAAAAGACAGGGCCCACATGCATAGGCAACTCACTTCTACTGGTTACATATTCACCTGGAAGAGCATACAGGTGTCTCCTGAGCTGGGATTTTTCTGGTGGACTAAGAATATTCATTTTGCATAGTTAAGTTGAAAATGGAGTTAGAATAAAATGATCCATTATTTTTGACTAACCATCAGAGCCATGTCCTGAATTTAACAAACATGACTTTTAATTTATCTTTTTCCTGATGATATATGATGTCCAGTCCTAAGTAAATTTGGATGAAGGAAGCAGAGATACAGTGGCCTTAGAGAAAAAGGGATAGAGAAAAAAATCAACATTTTTTTTAAGCAGAATGACTGATGAGGTGCTGAAGAGAGACAAAATCATATGTAACATTTATTCTTCAACTGTTTCGGAATGCTCCAAACTAAGGTTGATAAAGGTGCTAAAAAATAAAAATTACTTGACTAATCACTCCAAGTGAGCTAAATGCTTCATTCTTGTGTAATGCTAGCTTCCCACTTGGTGGGATTTAGCAGTCAAATAATTAGTGAGAAAGCAAGAAACTGTCTTTTTCCTTTGATATCAGACTGTTTATCAAAATAGTTATCAAATGTACATTAAAAAATACTGCTGCCTGTGTCATTTTAAAAAGAGTGATGCTAAAGAATGTATACATTTGAACAAATATTTTTCTTGCTCTGTGAAATCAATTTACCAAAATTCTCTATGTCAAGCAAATCAACTTACCTTCGAAGGTGGAGAAAAGCTGTGTAACACTGTTTTCGGAACTCTTGGTACTGTTCGCTCTGTGTGCCCCCCATTCCTTCCACCATTTCTTTATTCAGCTTCATAGGAGGAGGAAGAGGCTTTGGATCCCGACCCAAAATATATCCAAAGTCTATGTGGAAGAGTTTGCCTGGATGTTGATAAAAAACTCATTTGTTTCCAGAATTTTATATTAAGGAACTGGGAAATAGATATGTCATATAATTGGTAAAGCAGTGTCTCTTCATAAAGAATATTAGTTCATGATGAAGTCTATTAAATTGTCTGATCCTGTATCCACAGGCTAGGGAGTGGCCTTCAGAGCATATTTTATTTCCCTTCAGCTCACATTCATTCTGATGAAACTATACTTAAAATCATCCCACAGTAATATTTTAAAATTTAAATCCTACTTTTAGATCTCCAGAACCAAAGATAGCTAAAGGCTGGACAACTTTTAAAGGTATTAGTAGAAATTAGTATCTTGTAGCAAATTTCTTATGCTAAAGGAAGATCACTTCTTTAAGTATTCCTGAGATGAATCCTTCCTTTAACTTATCACTATTCTCCCCACCTTCAAAAACATCCCCCCAAATTTCAAATTATATTGTTAGCTTCATTTGAATCATTTCCAACTAATCTGTGTTACTCATTAGCTGCAGACTAGGAAACCAAGCACAGTATTCACCTCTGTCAAGGGCTGAATACAGCTATAGTGCCCAAGAAGACAAACCCTTGAGCAGTCATCTAAACTCGTAGGTCACATATGTAAGAATGTGACTGATCAATCACTTTAGAGAATGATTCACCACTGAAATCATAAAGCATCTTTTGATTTACAAGTAGGTATAAAGTAGGCATACATTATAACACTAAAAGTAACACCCTGGATTCTACAATCTAAGTACCACCAAGGCAAGGACTTATGCATTTTGTATATTGCTGTTTCCCCAGCCTCAGAATAGTTTCTAGCACATACTAAGCAATCATTGTTGAATGAAGAAATGGACTCCCTCTTGCAAGAACACCAGAATCACAACTAGCTACTGGACAATCATAAGCAGGAAGACACTGGAACAAACCAAAAAAGATACCCCATATCCAAAGACAAAGGAGAAGCCACAGTGAGACGGTAGGAGGGGTGTAATCACAGTAAAATCAAATCCCATAACTGGTGGGTGGGTGACTCACAGACTGGAGAACACTTATACCACATAAGTCCACCCACTGGAGTGAAGGTTCGGAGCCCCACATCAGGCTTCCCAACCTGGGGGTCCGGCAATGGGAGGAGGAATTCTTAGAGAATCAGACTTTGAAGTCTAGTGGGATTTGATTGCAGGACTTCGACAGGACTGGGGGAAACAGAGACTGCACTCTTGGAGGGCACACACAAAGTAGTGTGCGCATCAGGGCCCAGGGGAAGGAGCAGTGACCCTGGGGAGACTGAACCAGACCTACCTGCTAGTGTTGGAGGGTCTCCTGCAGAGGCGGGGGTGGCTGTGGCTCACCATGGGGACAAGGACACTGGCAGCAGAAGTTTTTGGAAGTACTCCTTGGCATGAGCCCTCCCAGAGTCCGCCATTAGCACCACAAAAGAACCCAGGTAGGCTCCAGTGTTGGGTCGCCTCAGGCCAAACAACCAACAGGGAGGGAACCCAGGCCCACCCATCAGCAGAAAAGTAGATTAAAGTTTTACTGAGCTCTGCCCACCAGAACAACAGTCAGCTCTACCCACCACCAGTTCCTCCCATCAACCATCCTAGATAGCCTCATCCAGAGGGCAGACAGCTGAAGCAACAAGAACTACAATCTTGCAGCTGGTGGAACAAAAACCACATTCACAGTAAGACAGACAAGATGAAAAGGCAGAGGGCTATGTACCAGATGAAGGAACAAGATAAAACCCAAGAAAAACAACTAAATGAAATGGATAGGTAACCTACCAGAAAAAGAATTCAGAATAATGACAGTGAAGATGATCCAGGACCTTGGAAAAAGGATGGAGGCAAAGATCGAGAAGATGCAAGAAATGTTTAACAAAAACCTAGAAGAACTAAGGAACAAACAGAGATGAACAACACAATAACTAAAATGAAAACTACACTAGAAGGAATCAATAGAATAACTGAGGCAGAAGAACAGATAAGTGACTTGGAAGACAGAACGGAAGAATTCACTGTTGTGGAACAGAATAAAGAAAAAGAATGAAAAGAAATGAAAACAGCCTAAGAGACCTCTGGGACAACATTAAACACAACAATATTCACATTATAAGGGTCCCAGAAGGAGAAGAGAGAGAGAAAGGACCAGAAAAAATATTTATAGAGATTATAGTCAAAAACTTCCCTAACATGGGAAAGGAAATGGCCACCCAAGTTCAGGAAGTGCAGAGAGTCCCATACAGGATAAACCCAAGGAGAAACACACTGAGACACATAGTAATCACATTGGCAAAAATTAAAGACAAAGGAAAATTATTGAAAGCAGCAAGAGAAAAACGACAAATAACATACAAGGGAACTCCCATAAGGTTAACAGCTGATTTATCAGCAGAAACTCTACAAGCCAGAAGGGAGTGGCATGGTATACGTTAATGAAAGGGAAGAATCTACACCAAGATTACTCTACCAGCAAGGATCTCATTCAGATTCGATGGAGAAATCAAAAGCTTTACAGGCAAGCAAAAGCTAAGAGAATTCAGCACCACCAAACCAGCTCTATAACAAATGCTAACGGAACTTCTCTAAGTGGGAAACACAAGAGAAGAAAAGGACCTACAAAACAATTAAGAAAATGGTAATAGGAACATACATATCGATAATTACGTTAAATGTGAAAGGATTAAATGCTCCCACCAAAAGACACAGGCTTGCTGAATGGATACAAAACAAGACCCATCTATATGCTGTCTACAAGAGAGCCACTTCAGATCTAGGGACACATACAGACTGAAAGTGAGGGGATGGAAAAAGATATTCCATGCAAATGGAAATCAAAAGAAAGCTGGATAGCAATACTCATATCAGATAAAATAGACTTTAAAATAAAGAATGTTACAAGAGACAAGGAAGGACACTACATAATGATCAAGGGATCAATCCAAGAAGAAGATATAACAATTACAAATATATATGCACCCAACATAGGAGCACCTCATACATAAGGCAACTGCTAACAGCTGTAAAAGAGGAAATTGACAGTAGCACAATAATAGTAGGGGAATTTAACACCTCACTTACACCAATGGACAGATCATCCAAAACGAAAATAAATAAGGAAAGAGAAGCTTTAAATGACACAGTATACCAGATAGATTTAATTGACATTTATAGGACATTCCATCCAAAAACAGCACATTACACTTTCTTCTCAAGTGCACACAGAACATTCTCCAGGATAGATCACATCTTGGGTCACAAATCAAGCCTTGGAAATGTAAGAAATTGAAATTATATCAAGCATCTTTTCTGACCACAACACTATGAGATTAGAAATGAATTACAGGGAAAAAACGTAAAAAAAAAACAAACACATGGAGGCTAAACAGTACATTACTAAATTACCAAGAGATCATTGAAGAAATCAAAGAATCAAAAAATACCTGGAGACACACGACAATGAAAACACAATGATCCAAAACCTATGGGATGCAGCAAAAGCAGTTCTAAGAGGGAAGTTTATAGCTATACAATCCTACCTCAAGAAACAAGAAAAATCTCAAATAAACAATCTAACCTTACACCTAAAGGAACCGGAGAAAGAAGAACAAACAAAACCCAAAGTTAGTAGAAGGAAAGAAATCATAAAGATCAGAGCAGAAATAAATGAATTAGAAACAAAAAAAAAACAACAGCAAAGATCAATAAAACTAAAAGCTGGTTCTTTGAGGAGGTAAACAAAATTGATAAACCATTAGCCAGACTCATCAAGAAAAAGAGGGAGAGGACTCAAATTAATAAAATTAGAAACGAAAAAGGAGAAGTTACAACAGACACTGCAGAAATAAAAGCATCGTAACAGACTACTACAAGCAACTGTATGCCAATAAAATGGACAACCTGGAAGAAATGGACAAATTCTTAGAAAGGTATAACCTTTCAAGACTGAACCAGGAAGAAACAGAAAATATGAACAGACCAATCACAAGTAATGAAATTGAAACTGTGATACAAAATCTTCCAACAAACAAACACCCAGGACCAGATGGCTTCACAGGTGAATTCTATCAAACATTTAGAGAAGAGCTAACACCCATCCTTCTCAAACTCTTCCAAAAAATTGCAGAGGAAGGAACACTCCCAAACTCATTCTATGAGGCCACCATCACCGTGATACCAAAACCAGATAAAGATACTACAACAAAAGAAAATTACAGGCCAATATCACTGATGAATATAGATGCAAAAATCCTCAACAAAACACTAGCAAACAAAATCCAACAACACATTAAAAGGATCATACACCATGATCAAGAGGGATTTATCCCAGGGAGGCAAGGATTCTTCAATATACACAAATCAATCAACGTGATACACCATATTAACAAATTGAAGAATAAAAACCATATGATCATCTCAATAGATGCAGAAAAAGCTTTTGACAAAATTCAACATCCATTTATGATAAAAACTCTCCAGAAAGTGGGCCTAGAGGGAACCTACCTCAACATACTAAAGGCCATATATGACAAACCCACAGCAAACATCATTCTCAATGGTGAAAAAGTGAAACCATTTACTCTAAGATCAGGAAGAAGACAAGGATGTCCATTCTCACCACTATTATTCAACATAGTTTTGGAAGTACTAGCCACGACAATCAGAGAAGAAAAAGAAATACAAATTGGAAAAGAAGAAGTAAAACTGTCACTGTTTGCAGATGACATGATACTATACATAGAGAATCCTAAAGATGCCACAAGAAAGCTACTACAGCTAATCAATGAATTTGGTAAAGATGCAGTATACAAGACTAATGCACAGAAATCTCTTGCATTTCTATACACTAATGATGAAAAATCTGGAAGAGAAATTATGGAAACACTCCCATTTACCACTGCAACAAAGAGAACAAAATACCTAGGGATAAACCTACCTAGGGAGACAGAAGACCTGTGTGCAGGAAACTATAAGACACTGATGAAAGAAATTA